TTTTATTTGAAATTAATCGTAATGCTTGAAAACAGTTTTTTAGCCGTTGTCTATTAAACTAACCCTTCTAACATCCTAAAAAAATCTGGATCGCTTGCCCCAATTATAAAAAAGGTTATTCCGTTTTAGAAGGTGTACGTATACATTGTACGTATTATTCACCATTCGTCATTACACCAGATTGACTTTAACCGCAAATTGCACATCGTCTTTGTTCGAATCAATCAATTACCCACGTTCGTTGCACGTTAGAGAAATTGTAAAAATTATAAGACAAGCCTAGAGCGAAAAATCGGCGCAGTAAAACTGAAATCGCGTAAAATTCGATTACACGTTCCCGAACATAACTAACGAACGCAATGACGTCTTTATGAAGCCTGAAGGTAATAAGTAAACGAGATCATTGCGAGCTTAATTAAAGGTAATCACTGGTTGACTAAGTTATTATTATGCAACTCCTCACAGGCATTTGAATGAAAAAGAAAGCTGTGTAAAAGGCATTGATAGCTTGTCTCCGTGGCCGTGCAATTTGTAGTACAAGATGTTTTGGAATCATAATTGCTTCGGGCGCGAAACACGCGGCTTCCGCGTTCCTGTTTTTTAATGCCGTATTTTAAGACTAATCTAAATTAGCATTTAATGTGAAGGTGAGAATATTAAACACTCATCCGCATCGTAAAAATCGAGTTTCATGTTTCATTCGATATCACCAAGTACCTTCAACGATTATTCCAATCGTTATTGCATACATATAAGCGAAGTTTCGTTTATCCATTCGACTCTATAGTTTTTCTAATCCACAAAATAAGTTCAAACATTTATTCGGTAAATATTTACCGAATTTCTTTTTTTACTCGATATTTTGAAAAATTTATTTCATCACCGAAACAAGGAATCAATCTTCTCTATTTAAAAAAAACAAACATGAAATTTGAAAATTCTCCGTAATTTTGTTTTCCAGATATTTGTAAACAAGTACGGTGAATTTGAATATTTTGAACAACTTCTTCCTAAAGAATTAAAAACACACATAATTTTATAAGACAGTCATAGTTTACCAGAGTCGACCATATTTGCCAAGAATAAACCACGACCAGTACTCTAATTCCACAAAAATGGTAAAATCATTCTTGTTCTGCATCTAATTAATAGTCCATTTTGCATAAATAAAACTGCATTTAATGCATAAAATATTTAATATAAAACTGCGAAAGGTACATTAAATTGGCTATCATCCACATTTAATCATGAACAGATACTTAACCAAGTGGCGATTATGCAAATTTTCTAGTTTTATATTTTTTGGAGCACTTGTATTACAAGCTGCACGGATGAAGTTATTCACCCACACTTCCGAATTTTTCCGCGGGTCCAATGACCGCGCAGAATATTCAACGATCCAGAAAACACGGTTTGTCAGATTCGCGGCCAGTTATTCAACGATGCGGAAGTAATTAAATTATTCCACGTTTATTTATTAGATTAAGCACCGGAGACCGTGCATATTAATTGCAGGTTATCGTCGCATAAGTATTACGCGTTAAGTGTGCGGTAAGAGTGTGATAAGTAGTCGCATATGCGCTTGTATGAATTATGCGACGCCTGTTTCGTTGCTATTCCCGTGTCGTTCGAACGCGAGACATTGCCGAATACATTAACAGCGTAATATTTCAGGCTCGGTTATGTATATTAATTAATCAATGTCTCTGCCCCGTGACAAAATATTATATAAATACGAGGAATTCGCCAAACGACATTATCGTCGCTTTCGCTACCGTTTTTTCCGTGTATGTGTTCAATTAGCCTCGAATCTATATCGTATCGACGTGAGCATGTTCACATTAATTCGCATTTTTTTATGCAAGATTGAAAGTGTAACTACATATCATATTTCAACGTCACATAATTTCGCTAATATATATATTTCACACATAGATATGATATCTTTCTAACTATTTATTATCTGCTTTTTCTCTGATGGTATTTGTTTATTTATTTACTCATTTTTTATTTATCTTCTATTATCATTATATTTTGTTTGATTCATTATCTCATGATTATGAATGATCGGCTAAAATACTATTATCTAAACTGTGAATTTTATGCATTTTTGATCAAAATATTGATTTGATTGTGAAATAACAGGAAGAATAACATTTAATAACGTCGGTATACTACTTGATCTATTAAAATTATTGAAGAAAGAACGCAACTTCTAAGCAGAGTTGTGCTAATTCAACTATGTACTTCAACTATGTGCTAATTCAACATTGTAATTCGATTTCACGATTTAATTTCATTGCATTTCAACGATGTATAGTAATTCANGATTTGATTGTGAAATAACAGGAAGATTAATAACATTTAATAACGTCGGTATACTATTTGATCTATTAAAATTATTGAAGAAAGAACGCAACTTCTAAGCAGAGTTGTGCTAATTCAACTATGTACTTCAACTATGTGCTAATTCAACATTGTAATTCGATTTCACGATTTAATTTCATTACATTTCAACGATGTATAGTAATTCACAGTTACATAATTCAAACCTTTCAGTTAATTCAATTGCAATTATTTTAATCACGAGTGTAATTCAAACACAATGCACACAATTGAAATATAATACATTTCTCGGAACTTTGAAGAAGTGAGATACATTTTTATATATTTCTCTCGTATTCTCACTTTTTGACTCTTCTGAGCATTGTCTTTCTCCATTACCTATTAATATTATTTTTTAATTCATAAGTTTGATTCAATTACATCATAATTCGTAGTCTCAACGCGATTACATCGTAATTTGTAATTAATATAATTTAATTACTTGGTATTTCGCAATTGTGTTCCAATTGCAATTGCTAAAATTACATTGTAATTTAATTGAATAAAGATCCGAATTACGAATCACAATGTCATCGAATTATAATTTAATCGAATTACTTTGGAGTTATAATTCGTTGAGTAATTCAATTGTAATTCTGCAAAACTCTGTTTCTAAGTTACTCCTATTTCTCTTGCTACAGATGCAGAAAATGTTAGTTTTGCTTAAATATCTGTAGATCAACTATTGCAATTTGAAAGAACACGAATGAATCAGTAATTTATCTTTAATTGCATCCATGTATCAACGAATCCGCAAAAGCGACGACTCAATTTTCATCTGAAAACGCATTAAATGTGCAGCCTACTTACGGTGCAAGCTTCGTTTATATAACTGCGGCTCACAATGACGTCACTGAATTCACTAATTCACACTTCGATAGGGCAAACAAGCCTCGACGAAGTTTCCGCCGAGAGCTTTGATTGCTCGTTAGGCGGTCTATTTTTTCCCCTCGACCAACGTTTACAAAACCGGGTTACTTTATTGCAATCAAAACAGACCGGAAAGAATGAAACCATTCGAAGGAATCTATACTTACGTAAATCCCGGTATAAAGTGTGATACCGTTTATTTTTACAATTATCGACCCGCCGAGATCGCCTACTAACTATTAATACGCGTTCGCAAAAAGGCCAGCTGGGGAAGATGCGATTTCCCCGCAAATTAAATCGATGGGATACCTATCAAGCAGCTGCTGATAATCGTATCGGTTATGTTCACGAGTTACTCTTCCATTTACTCGTTTTTTTCGGACACCGTATATCGTGGAGCCAAATCTTTGTTGTTCAATGAAAATGTTCAATCAATTTTAGAATAATGTAGAAAGATCAATAAGTGAGATGAAAGTTTCGTCAAATGCAATCGTTGAACTTGCATATTTTAGACATTCATCTCGGAATTGCAGTTTTTATCACTTTTTAGTTTCTTACTTTATATGCTGAGTGATTGAACTACGGTTTTGTATATTTTGACTACTCCAGTTTATTGCAATCGAGATAGAATATTTTCCGTAATCTAGAAATGATTTATTTTAAGTCCGATTTTTGTTGCGTTTCATAGTAAGTTTNAATTTTGACAACATTTTTAGGGGGAAACACGCGATGAATTCAAAGATATTTTTTCTACTTCTTCAAGTTACCAGATCATTTATGGAGAGAAACCAATTTTTATTTTACTCCAGTTTATTGCAATCGAGATAGAAAAAAAATGATTTATTTTAAGTCCGATTTTTGTTGCGTTTCATAGTAAGTTTAGAACAGTTTCACATTTTTAAAACATTTTTAAAGATTCGCTGGAAATTGAAATTGAATAAAATCGTTTACCTTTCGCACTAATTTTAATAAGTTGAAAAAAGATATACCAACATTCGCAAAAACATCCAAACTTCCAACTGCTTCATATATTGTGCACTAATTTTGATCGGAAACATTGAGAAAAAACAAATTGAAAAAATCAGAATCACAGTGATCGTTAATAACAACAAAGCTATATCAGACCCAGTTACGCAATGTCGAAAACAATGCTGTCTATAAGAAATGTCACAGCGATATTGTTTGCACGAATTTTGAAAAATTTAAGCAACGCGAATAAATATTACAGACCACGCTACAAGCAAATACTCGATAAATCTGTCGCAACTTCGGCCGAATCGGAGAAGTAGAAATTCGACAAATTTCAATCGTCCGCAAAGTATGACATCCATGGTCCAAGAGTGTCGGAAAGGGCACAAAGTCAAGGCCGCTTGCATCGAAGCACGAGAATAGTATGTATTAGCTCGGATCAAAGGGAACGTAAATTTAGATTTGTGCGATACAGGCCGTTTTAAACTATTCCGCGCGGATTCCGTTAAAAAAAGCTTCGGTGAGGCAATCAGGAAGAAAAACGGCACAGCTGTCTGACATAGTAAAGAGTAAAGTGTAAAGCGGGCATAGTGATTCGGCGATGATGGAAGTCTATCGCGGTGCTCCACGTTTTTCAGAAGCATCGAACTCCTAAGCAATCCGACAGCCAAGACACATTCCTTGGGTATCTTAATTTCATGCTGAATTTTTTAGCATATCATTGTAAAAAAAAGAACGACGCGATACATCAACGTGCACCGGTATCTTTAGATTACCTTTCATCGACTTTTAATTGGTTGCTGCCTGTTGACAAATAAGACATTCAGGTTAATTAAAAGAGGGCTGAGAAAAGGTGTCGGGACTCCCGACATAGAATGTGGCACGGACTGTTGATACATCGGACTGACGACGACCGCATTGTACGAACAAAAAGATTAAGACATCTGATCGATCTATCGGAACGATCACTCGGGTATAAACTACCGTTTAGAAGTTACCGGACACTCGATTGTTATGGGGAAATTAAAATTCTGCCACAGGTATCGTTTTTGCGTGGTCTCTTCTTACCTCCGTTTATTTTTTCGTTAGACAATTAAACTACGAAATTAAATATTGTCGATTAAACAAATATAACCATGCATAAAATATGGACATCGTATACAAATATTTAATTCTAAACGAAACTTTTCTAACATACTCAGAAGAATTGTAAAATTATATGTTATAAATATGAAATTCGCACAGTTTGTTTAATTTTAATAGTCAAACTCTATAACACAAAACTCTGTCAAAAATATTCCAATGAAATGGTGAAATTTGTTTTAACAAATAAAAAATGCTCGATGAGGGAATATTAAGATTACATTTCTTACAATTCACTGTTAATTGCATTTCGAACTCTCATCGTTCTCTTATTCTATCCTAACTGACACGAGTCCAACAATGAAAAATCGACAGTCACGAATTCATATCGATCTTTGTAGTCGCACCTANAAGATTACATTTCTTACAATTCACTGTTAATTGCATTTCGAACTCTCATCGTTCTCTTATTCTATCCTAACTGACACGAGTCCAACAATGAAAAATCGACAGTCACGAATTCATATCGATCTTTGTAGTCGCACCTAACATAATTTATCTTAATTGTTTGATTAGCGCACGATAACTACCTGTTCTTAGCTAAAGATACACCGAGGTCAAAAACGTAACAACTGTGCGAAAGTTGAAAAGAAAACGAGCACTCGGCGTCACATCATGGTACCACCTGCGATCGCTTGCAGTTCCAAAGGAACCGACTCGGTTACAAAAGTCTCGAGCTTTCCGAGAAATTCGAGTAGTCGATCTATCCTGCACTTAGCGTTCGTACCAACTCGTCGGACACTCAATCTTCCCGTGCGGAAATGGTTCACTGTACGCAAACTGTAAACTGGGAAAAGTCGTTAAATCTTTTTTAATCGTTCACCGTCTGCACTGGTTTATTTCGTTTTTTTTTT